GTGACATCTCGAGGCGGCCTAGTGCTTCTATCGGAAGAATTATTAAATTGGTTATTCTTTTAAAAGGTGAAACTCATCAGGTACCAGTAGTCTAACCACTGGTCAATGCAGCATTGGTCAAAGCAAGTGGAAAAATTGTCAGCTTATAACTGGAGAACTGCGTTATGAGCAGCAACTGATCAAAATATTGAGAAAATGATTATTTGAACAGAAGCGCGAAATGTGAAATTCTGCAAAAACTTCGAAGGATTCGCAGAATCTTGTAGTCCCCAATTTCTGTAGCAAAATCAGGCCTCTTTTGGAAAGTGTACTGAAAATTGTAACGAGAGGTTACGTCAGTTGACATTCTTGCGTTTCTTGAACTTTCCCCCGTTAACAAATAATTAGCAGTAGTTGAGATTTTGAGCCAAAAAAAAAGATATTACCGGCAATAATTCATTCGGATCTCCCAACGCCGTTCTGTTTCGATAAATCAACTTTCACTAATGGCATCCATAGTCTAGCAAGGCTGCCTGTGTCGTCCTTCATCACTGAATTGGTCTGGGGAAAAAGAGTTGATGGTACAATATCAGACCTAATTTTGAGTCCTTGAAAATCTGTTATTTTGAACATCTCTCGATTTCTGGATTTGAGGGTGAAATCCGTATTGAGTGACTTTTTTTTATCCTGAATTTCAGCCACTGGCAATATTCATCCACAGCAGTGACTGTAATATTCACGTGGTGGTCAACATCGTCTTGTGTTTCTTCTTTTGGTTACCGGCTGTACTACACGCGCTGTGGTATTGCTTTTTCCGAGGATAGATGGATTTATTCGGCATTCTGCCCCAATGAGTTCAACATCTCTAATGATCCTGCTGTATCACTCAATTTTTGCCTCAATATTCATGTGCGTTGTTTGTGAACTAATTTCAAACACTGCAAAAGATTTTGTTGTCGATCAGCTGCCAAATTCATCAGTCAGCTACCAAATTCGTTATCTGGTTACTCAGTTATGCTTCTGGTAACTTCTTCAGTTGTTTTGACCAACGCCACATCGGCTAATAGCTTGCCGGTGTAGTCCAAAAAACTACCAGTTAAGTAATAGCTAAAACGAAACGAAAAAAAAGTCAGAAAATGTGAATTAGACCGAGATGGCGGTCTAAAAATACTGAGCAAGCACTGGTACAGTCTGTGTTTCATCCCTTAGCTGTAAACACATCCGCTGTTGTGTCTGTCGAAAAAATTTGAAACTTCAAGTAGATTTTATAAAACAAATTATTTATGAAATTATGAAACA